TTTCGATATCATAACAATAACAAATAAATAAACAGAAAACTACCTTTTCTCTGTCTATTGATGTTCCGTCATCGTGCCGGATATTAGATACCATCGAGTCCAAACATTTTTTGCCGGGGTAGTTTAGACACAGTGAGTATGCTCCACAAACTGCTACGTGGACTTCTGCGCTATGTTAAACATGTATTTGTTATTCATTACATTTACAGAGAGAAATGGCTGGTGTTAGCAGAGTACATCCTGTGGAGTCGATAAAGAATCTTAAATCATCAGGCAACAAATTAAGACGTTCTGCTAGTCTTTCTTCAACGCTGTCCCTATCACCTACAGAACTGAATGAAGCTATAATGGGAATGTTAACTGTTGGAAAAAAACTGGAGCCTTGCAGAAGAGTATGCATTGGTATGTCAAGGCTATACTTTAACTCTTCAAACATATTAGTATTTATACATCCTTGTCTTTCATTTATTTTGCTTGTTTCAACGTTCCAGATGAAGGTGAATCCAGCACCAGAATTACATTTTCTTATTTTCATTTTACACATAGTTTCATGGCAAAACCTATAAATAAACAATTTTCTTCATAATTCAATGATAGACGTTCCCTTTTATTATTATCTTTTTTTTTAATTAAGATAAAATATAACACTGTTTGCTTTGGTTCACAGCTGATTCAATTCCTTCTATAATATGTATCAGCCGATATGCAAGTAATTTCTATTACATGCCAACATATATTATGTACTATGCTACAACCCTAGATGAAGTTTACAAGTAAGGACATCATTTCGATTAAAGAAAATTGAGAATTGTTTCTGGACAAACATTTTTCTTATGTTATAAAACCTTAATTCGTAATCAGGAGTATCCCTTCCAAATTGTAGGAAATCCTATAACAACCGCTGGGCAAAGAAAACAACTAGCAAAGATGTTGACTGTTGTTTTATTTCCATTGGCCGTTTTAACAGCAATCACTGCAGTCGATTTTTCGAATTCTCTATCAATGTATATGAATACAGCTGAGGTGATGATGCGTATTGAATTCGGTGTAGAACTTGGAGATTTCCTTATGGCTCTCCAAAATGAACGTGATATGAGTTCTTTGTATTTGAGTAGGATTGGTTCTGATACTAAATCAGATTTATTAAAGGCATACCCTGAAACAGATGAGGCTTTAGATAAATTATCATCATGGCCAGTAAGTTCAAGTAACAAACTAAAGCAATTCCGGTCACGTGAACGGTATATTAACTATATCAATAGACATCGTTATGAATTAGACTCAACAAACACAAGTGTGACTGCCGAAATTAACTTTTATTCCGAGCACATCGATATATTCATACGCTGGATGTATGAAGTTGTCAGCGAGCTAAATACAGGATTGATTTGGAAGACATTGGTAGGATATCAAGAACTGATAATTTCAAGTGAATATATTGGTAGAGAACGAGGCTATGGTATTTATTATTACTCAGTCGGTTCATTCCGTGATAGAAATCATTATATACTTTTTATTGAAAGCCAAGATACGGCTAGAGCACACTTTGAATCTGCAAGGATGTACTCGGAAACGGCATCGGACATATATCAAAAGAACCTCGACACAAACAACGAAACTCTGCAGGAGATCAATAAGTTGAGAAACGAAATAAAAGTTAATTCTACGATTGTACAAGAAGGTTCTACATCTGCAGCAAAATGGTGGTTTTCAAACATGAGCATTTATCGTGATGTCATGAAAAATACTCAAAGAATGCTGGCATCAAAAATAAACAGACTACTTCAACAGAACGCAGTCGTTGATATGACAAACATGATCATTGCAGCTGCCATCTTTGTAGGAATAATACTTGTTAGTCCAACTATTACGTTCTCAGTATACAAACTGACGTCTAATATTCAAAAATACTCATTGCAGATTGCAAGAAAGTAAGTAACAATATAAATATCAAATGCTCATTAGCCTTCACGATTGTTTGAAGACTTATTTATTTATAGATGATAGATTATAAATGGTATTGTACAAGGTTATCTTCCTGTAATGATGATAACCTAGCTATATAAGAAGGACTCAAATCTATGATGTGTTCCAGATCTATGGCAGATTCCGAATCTATGGTAAATATGACGTCATGCCATCCCAAATCTATGGCAGATTTTTTAAAATCCTAATCTATGGCAAGTTTTGTAATTTCCTAGTCTATGGCGGATTTTTGTTGTTTCCAAATCTATGGCAGATTTTGTGCAAATGGAGAACAAGGCAGTACATATACGATCAATGACTTGTCTTAAACAAGTGGAAATGTACAACAACGGGAGCATGTCTATAAACATTTGTGAGATAAACATTCCATAATGGTCAACCACATCGTGAAGGCAACCATAAGTAGATAGTGTAGAAGTGATATACCATAATAAAGACTTCAGGATTAAAATGATGTGCCCCTGAAAAATAAGCATTTCCTAATCTGTGCATGGTACCTGTTTAATCCATTTATTAAACCAACTAGAAAAATGGAAGTCCCTTAACACAAAAAGAAAGCAGTTTTTCTATAAAAAGAATTAAACAGTTTGACTTTTCACATAATATTTATTTGAGCGTTAATTAATCTTTTTTAACTGATGACGATTTAAGTCAAAGTGGTATATCCTGTAATTTCATCTCTCACTTTATATACTTTGCCAGCCGTAAACGCTAAAATATTTACTATAACTCCTTTCCTAAAATATCCACTACTAAAACAGCGGTGCCTTTTTTCATCGTGGGATTCGGACGGTACAGCACATATTGTCCCTCCTCTGAAAAAAAGGTCACACCATCGGCAAATTGTTCTAGAGGGAAAGCGGAAAGTGTTTCCCTGTGTATTTGTTTGTAAAAATATGTGAGCCCCGTGTTAAATATCAGTTTTTGATTTACATTCTACAAATAAAAAAAATAATCTATATAAAATGGTGTTCAAATCTATGGGTTCCGCCATCGTTAGCGGCGGCGACGACGCAATATGGCGTTATTTAATTGTGACGTTATATGTTACTCTTTTTCCCGGAAAATTACAAGATCTGCCATAGATTTGGAGAAAACAAAAACCTGCCATAGATTTGATTTGTTTGGCGTTTGTAACGTCATATTTGCCATAGATTAGGAATCTGCCATAGATTTGTATCCCGCCATAGATTTTAGTCATACATATATAAAAAAAAAACTACTGAGTACTGTGGTAAAATCTATTAAACTTGTCATAAGTTACTGTCCGTATTATTTGAAACAGAATTGTTAATCATAGTTTTGAGTTGAAATCCAAAGAAAACGCGACTTTTACACGTCACATGTTCAAGTCTTGAACCTTGTAAATGATTGTCATATGTCATAGCTTAAGGTGGTACCCAACACCTTGACTAATATTAATTTGGCTCGTTTAATTTTTCTTAAATTTTGACAAAATGTTTACTTTGACCCTTTGATAAAAAATTTAAAAATTTCAAATAATTTGAACCAACCATTTATCTCCCTGTAGTGTTAGGTACAACCTTAATGTTTCTTGTTATTTGTAGAAGTTGGTGATGGTGATATATCTTTTGTGGTCTCTGTTTAATTAATGTACATCTGTTTAACCTCTGGTGATCTTGTTTAGACATTTGTTTTAATTGAAAACTTAATATGAATCTTTCTATGTGTACACATACAAAATTTAAAATAACACTTTTTAAATATAATGCGTCCGAATAGCTTCTATCGAGTTACCTTCTTTAGGATCGCTCATACCAATAAAATTGAAAGCCAATGATGTATAACTACCTAATCACACGAAGGGCTTTATGATTAAAATGAACATAAAAGAAAAACCAAACCCACCTAAGGCCTGGGAGGGTTGGAACCTTCTTTTCAACAATTTATCAATTTATCAACGAGAATTAATAGCAAAAGTATATTATAAATCATGTCGATTCTGAAGAACCGACTACTGGGCTGGTGATAGCAATCCACCAGCAGTGGTATCAAAATAATAAAAAAAAACTTTATAAATTAGTATAAACGTCCCCCGATGTTTTGAGCATATATCGTTTAACTTCTTTTTCTCAATTGCATATAACCAAATAAAAAGTGAGGCGACTCTTCACATTCAACAGTTTGGTGGGGTTCGTGTTGCTCAGTCTTTAGTTTTCTATGTTGTGTTTTGTGTAATATTGTTTGTCTGTTAGTCTTTTTCTTTTTTAGCCATGGCGTTGTCACTTTATTTTCGACTTATGAGTTTGAATGTCCCTTTGGTATCTTCGGTCTCTCTTTTATAAAATTAAGAAACTATTTACCATACAGCTATAAACACAATAAACATAGTTATACCAAATACCAAAATACAGTAACATCAAATGGCAATATTGATATATAAAACTAGATGCCAAAGAAAAAAGAGAGTTTCGTTGATATATAAATACTTATATAAAAAACATGGAATAAGCCATCATTGTCTTTGTCATAAAACGTTTTGACGAAATTAATACTACTGCGAATAAATACGTTGATCTTTCTTTACATCGTGGGGAATCATTTATATATTATTAAAGCAGGTAAGGTGAGAATACATTAATTTAAACTTACTTTACGAGGACGCTGAGACTGTGCCACAAGTGGGAGAATATACCACATTGGAAATATGAAACCATACATTTAAGAAAAACATAAAAAAAAAAAAAACAAGATGATTTTGGAGGACGGAAGTTAAGTTTCGGATTTCATAGATAACAATTTAAGAGATTTGATTTGTTTGCCAATGAGATAGCTGTCTACCAGAGTCTACATGTTGTGGATGTAAGCAATTATAGGACACTTTACAGCCATCAACAAAGAGCAAAACCCATACAGTATATTCAGCTATAAAAGGCCCGACATGGCAAAATGTGAAATATTTCAAACGCTTTGTTTATGACATGGCTACTTGTTTGCCGTAACCCAAGTTCTAAAAATGAAAAAAGGTCAAACCTTGAAAGGCGCAAGGACAATCTAGAAAATACCATTTTTATTCACAGTTACCTGAGACACGAAGACATAAAAGTCTTATTATGTACAATGTTATCTTTTTTCATAGAACCAAATTATTGAACAAGGAGAAAAAACAGAGTGAAGAGATTCTGTTTCAGATGTTACCTAAATCAGTTGCACAACACCTGAAAGAAAACAACAGTGTAAATGCCGAACAATTCCAAGAATGCACCATTCTACAGAGTGATATGGTTGGCTTCACTAAATTATCGTCCAATAGTTCGCCATTACAAGTGACTGAAATGTTGAACATCCTCTTTTCCTGCTTCGATAACAGAATTAATTTGTATGATGTTTACAAAGTGGAGACGGTAGGAGACGGCTACTTGGTTGTATCAGGTAATGCTATAAAAATAATAATGTTAACGATGTTCTCTTAGTTTTGATGAAATTACAAAACCCCAAAAAGTTTTTGATTCGTAAATCTGCAAAAAAGCATTGTGTTACCTTTTGTTCATATACGGTGATCTGGGTTGTGAGTTACAGAATAGAGAAAAATGGGCAAAAAAATAAATGAAAGAGAAACAAAATTAGGGAATGACTCATTACCTTATCAGTGACAATGTTATGACAAGTTTAGAGTATGAATTATTGCCTTATCTGTTACACTGTTTTCACATGTTAAGATTTTGACTGGTTTCTTTATCAGTGATGATGTTTGACAATGGGAACTAATAGTTTAATATAACATTGTATTTAGCCTTAGATTTGTCTCATTGATATTCATACCACATCTTCTTATATCTAATTAGAAGGCAATACAATGAATTGGAGATATCTTTCTGTGTCCATAATTCTTGTTGGTTCAGCTACAATTATGGAAAAAGGAAGATAACGCTGATTTTAAATATCAACAATGACGTCATAGATTGTTTTTAGATTTTTTGATTGTTGGGTGCTTAATGTCCAGTTGCAAATATTTTATGCATGTTCAATGAAAACAAATTTAACAATAAGTACACATGGTAGGTCCTGTAATAAGGGCTGTCCGGGTGAAGGTCGGGAAATTTGGATTGCCATAGTAAAATGAGGGTATATAGGATAGGGAAAGCAATCGTGGCTGCGTATTTATACATCCCGCACAGCCAAAAGGACGATTTGGAAAGGGTTTGACTGTCGGTCTGAAGAAGACCAAGAGTGACCATTTTTCTATTCCCAGTCACCCTTGGGGTTGATATTTTATTCTTGCACCATGCACAAGTTAATAATGTTATTCTCTTGACAAGTATTGTTACACACACAAACACAAATCATAGTTGAGTATATATTTCTCGGTTATGTTTATGGACAGAATGTAAAGAATGTTGTGCAAAATGCACTATGTTTTTTTTTGTCTCAATAGTATTGATAATGTCTGGAAAACTGATAACTATCAATCCAGCGCCATAAAGAGTTTAATTGCACGAATGCAATCTTTACCTCAAAAATATACGAATTTTGATTATATAATACATTGGAAGCTCTTTACTGTTTAGTATTGTGTAGAAAAGGAGGAATATCTCCGATTTGACTTTCATATTTGTTTCTCTCATTCAATTCGTTTAAAGAAAAGTTTTGTTATTCAATTCGTTTTAAGAATTTTTTCGCTTTTATTAACAACGGGTTTCCATTTGAATATTTTAGTTAATCGTTATACTTAAAATTCTACTTTGACCCCAAAATATAAAAATGCATAGAGATTAAGAAAGTATTTTGTACAAATGTTGCATTTTTGATTCAATGGATCTACTCTCATGGTCTAAAAATGGTACAAAAACAGCTGTTTTGTCGGATTTTCAGACATACTGCTCTTTAACCCAACGGCACAAATTATCAGCAGACAGCAATCTAGAGGTCATCATAGAATCTTCAACAATAGAAAGTTGTCTCTTAAAAAATCTCAAAATCTGAATTTTTCAAAAAAATTTAATAAGTTATACAAAAACTATCTTATAAGAAAATGCCTGTACCAAGTCAGGAATATGACAGTTGTTATCCATTCGTTTGATGTGTTTGAGCTTTTGATTTTGCCATTTGATTAGGGACTTTCCGTTTTGAATTTTCCTCGGAGTTCGGTATTTTTGTGATTTTACTTTTTAGACCTGCCATCAACTCAGGAGATGAATAAGACGTAACACAAACCACTGACGAGCTTCTTGACTTGGAACAGGCAAATGGATATGTTGTTTTTGATCTAATGTTTCATCAATTTTTATGTAGTCGACCAGTTATTGTAGTTTCATTTTCTTGTATCAGGGATATCGAATTGGCCAAAAAAGGATAGCAAGGGACTATCAAAAATAATAATTCGAAGGCAGATAGATCATTACCAAAAGAAAATCAAACAGACAAACGACAGTACAAAAACCAAGAGAAAACGAACGATTGAGAAGCAAGAACATTACCAAATACTGGGGTGAACTCAGGTTCTCAGGAATAGTCACAGTTTCTGTTTTACTAATTTCACCCGTTGTGTTGATCCTTTCAATTAAAATCTAATGGTGAATCGTATCCGGTGAAGTCAAATATTTAAAAATATTGGGATAGTGTCTACGACAAAAGGGCCCTGATGTTATCCATGATATTCTGTGACACAGATATTCCCTAACAATTAACTACCTGTATTTCATGAAATACACAGCTATAAAACCGGGAACTAGATACCAAGAGCAATCATAAACCATATGTCGAAGAAAACTGACCACACCTTGGCCAAAACAATTCGAAAAGAGAAAAAACATTCTACAAACGAATAGACATTTCTCAACAGTGGCACTCGTCGTATTCCTCATTCAAAATATCAAAGATACAAGACTTTTATTGATGTTCTTTATCTTGATGGTTGAAGTTAGCTATCTATTTACTCGATTATTGTAGGTGTGCCTAGAAGGAACGGACAAAGACACGCGTCTGAAATAGCCACTCTTTCGTTAGATTTATTGCATCACGTAAGCAGGCTTGACCTTCCTCAGTTTCCTGGCGAGAAGTTCAAGATAAGAGTAGGCTGTCATTCAGGTAACGATTAAACTTGTCATTTAAAATATCCAAGATTATGTTCTTGGTGAACAAAATATTTTGAAAGATGTGTTTATAATTATTATTTATGTATCATGTGATACATCTAAATAAGTATTAAAGAACATTCGGTTATATCTTAAGTATGAACTAATGCATACTGAGCAATTTATGTTAATTCTTACATGTATTTTTGGCAAATGAAGAATAAATGAATCTCATCTTCATGCTCTGGTTATAAGTTTATTTATATTTCGGCCATGTTTAAACTATTGTTATTCAATATAAGCAAATGAGGTGATGAATTTAATTTGTTGTGGAAAATATGGTTAAACCTCGGACGTGGCTGCATATTTATACATCCCACACAGCCAGATGATGCACCAGAAAGGTTTTCTGTCGGCCGGAAGAAGACCAAGGTGACCATGTTTCTGGTTTTTTTAAAACCACAAAGCTATTAAAGTATTTCAGATATATGATTTTATTTGTACTATCGTCTAAAAATTTGTTTTTGTTTTAAATATCCTATAATCAGTATTCTTACGCGTATATCTTAAACAATTATATTGAATATAAAAATTGAATTATAGTAAAACACAAAAAGTGGGAATTTACACATCTCGGTATTACTAACTTAGTATTCAAACTTGAATAAGCTTATATAAAGATGTGTTCCTTTTTCGCTTTTTTATCTGGATTTGTACATGTTTTACCTTTTTGGTTATCGTTAAACCTCAAAACAAACGCATTTATTTAAAAATTGAATGCTTCTTTTTGTAAATTTATTGGGGTGTAAAAGCGTTGACCGAAGTATATTTTGTATGAAGCGCGGAAGCGCTTTATTCTAAAAATGTGCGCACGGTCAACGCTTTTACAACCCTATAAAATTACTAAAAGAAGCATTCAATACTTATAATACCATGAAAACACGATTCTTATCAAGTTTTTCTTTTATTTACCTGTGCACTTCATTTGGGAAGCGGGGCTTCGGTGGCCGAGTGGTCTAAGTAGTTACTACTGTAATCACTAGCCAGTCAACACTTAGGTTGTGAGTTCGAATCCCGCTCGTGCAGGTGCACTCGACTCCAATCTTAATTGACTAGGATTGTCAGTTTTCCTATCGAAGGTCGGTGGTTTTCTCCGGGCACTCCGGCTTCCTCCACCAATAAAAACTGGCCGCCACGAAATAGCCCAAAAGCGGTGCTTAAAAGTGGCGTTTAAACACCAAAAATCAAAATCAAATCATTGGGGAAGCTCGTGTCATCATGAATGTTACATTTCATTTTGAAATAAAGGTTTATTTCAGAATGACGCGAGATTGCTGTTAGCCAATCAAAATAAGTATTATAATGAAACATACATGTAATGTAATTATTTACGTTTAAGGTCCAGTTGTTGCAGGAGTCGTTGGGAATAAGAATCCTAGGTATTGTTTGTTTGGATCCACAGTACGTGTTGCTGCATTAATGGAATCATCAGCAGAAGGTACAAACTAACACACTTTTACATGTAAAATGAACATTTTTTTTTAATTATCTTTATGCTTATTATAATAGTTTTTCATTGCTACATCTAAAAATATCAATATTTTACACATTATGTTTATTTTGGTTTAAACAAAGTTTCAAATATTTTTGAGTACATCGCAATCAGATTAAAATATAGATCCTGTGTCCGTGCTTTACTTACAAAGACATTGTGCTTTCTGTTCGTGTAATCTTCTTTCCTCTATATCTTCCTCCAATAGTTGGAGTACACCAACTTTACCATGTACATTAAATGAATATGCTAATAAAACATTATGTACAGTTAAATCACTGCAAAATAACTTATATCCACATTAAAATCTGGGTCTCAGTTTAAAACTTATTGATAAAGAGTAAATACTATTTACAGGGCATGCCTTAGTGTATTTTTTTTCACATTCAATAAAATTCAGTACTCAAGGGTAAAAATAATGAGTTTTCAACATCCTGTCTGCCGGTGTAATTTCATCTATCTATAAGCACTACCAAGTATAGTTATACAATTATAAAATCATGCATTTAAGCTTATATGCCCTATCCGATCAAATTATGAATAGCCGTTGATCTATCTGTTATGTTAAAGCTACTGGATATTAAAGCTAAAAGTAGATCTGTACAATTATTTCCATCAACAGGTGTGGCGCGGTACAACCACACTGACCTTATATTTTGATTTGTTGTTTAAAAGACTTTCCCAATATTTGATCCTGTGTCATGGATTGGATAATAGGTTTAGCGCGGAATACCTACATTGACCTAGTAGTTCTGTCAGAACATCAATAATGGTTTTTTAGATTATAAGAAATCATACCATCAGGTAATTAAATTTCAGCCTTTAAATTTTTGAAGTCGTGTATCATGACAACATCTGAAATATCATTAAAACAGAAAGTAGAATGGAGCGTTTTCAGATCCATCAATGATGGTTTTATAGATTATAAGAAATCATACCATCAGGTATTTAAATTTCAGCCTTTAAATTTTTGAAGTCGTTTATCATGACAACATCTGAAAGATCATTAAAACAGAAAGTAGAATGGAGCGTTTTCATATCTTTGTAAGCAAGTCTCAATTTTAATCAGTGCTTGCATCGCGAAATTATTTCTTCTTTCGTATAATTTTCATAACACTAATATCTGACGAACAGAGCAAAAGGTTTATTCGTAAGGTCTTCACAAATGGTGTATAAAGTAAAATAACAAAAGTACCGAACTCCAAGGAAAATTCAAAACGGAAAGTCCCTTATCAAATGGCAAAATCAAAAGCTCAAACACATCAAACATCCTTCAATGGAAAACAAAAACCTCTCACTTGTATGACAAATGGTGAATGCGTTTACTCACAGACCGGTCGAACGTGTGACATAAGATGTAGAATATGAAAATGGTATTAAAAGAACACTCAATCATTAATTTTATACATAATTTTACTGCCTATTTCAGTAAATAAGATTCAAATCAGCCAGTCAACATTTGCATTGCTACATGAAATGGGTGGATTTGAGATGAAAGCGAGAGATATTTATAATGTTACGGTAAGAAATACTTTGTACCGAACCCAAAATAATTTCAAATACACCACTTGCTAACTTGAACATGAAAATTGTACAAGGTTGCAAAGTGACAGTACTAATAGCATACCTGGACCTGCGTTGCTTAATGCTGTTTTGAAGAACAGTCTTTGACGCTGTAAAGATTGGATAATTCTCAGATGTGTAAGTTCGTCAATTGTCAAAGTACAACCAATTAAACTGTATGAATATAGTAGTTCCCAAGGTTGCTAATAAAATTCTTAGATTAAAGAATGGCTTTATCATTATAGCACTAAAGCCAGATATAACTGATAGCAGCAAGATTTCTATGCTTGTAGGTTTTTTTTATATAAATTGTTTTAAGTAATCGGCAATTCACAGATGTAAACCCTTCTCTTGAGCAAACCAGAAATGTATTAGGAAGACTAGCAAACCAACATCATTGTTCTCTTCAAAAAAAAAATACTGTGCAACTGCTAAACAAAATATGGGAAATAGTTTTGTGAAAACAATTTTGAAACATAAAAATAATTTGCTCCAAATGCAAAGTTCTAGTGATGCTGTAGGAAAAAGGCAGTTGTGGTTTCACATAAAAAAAGGTAACGTCTAAAGCATTCAATCATTAAAATGATCAAGTTCCACACAGTGGGAAACCTTAGAAAAAAATTATTCAAATTTATTTACATTTTACAAACTGTGTACGATCGCAAAGTTTCAATTATGTTGAAATCAAATGGTTGGACGATGTATTTATGTTATCGTTGTGTTTCGTTTCGTTTCGTTTCGTTTCGTTTTGTTTCGTTTTGTTTTGTTTTGTTTTGTTTTGGTAAGTGGTGTTTTCGTTATGTTTTTTTTTTATCTTTTATTTGTTGGTTTAATAATACAAGTGATGGAGTAATGATGAATTTTGAATTCTACATAGTAAGCATGATTTAAAATGCAATATTTTATTCCTTTTCAATATTAGGCTCAAGTTAATCCATATGTTTCAGGTTGGAGTTGAATTAAGGAAGCACGGTTCCTCTGAAAAGACATTCTGGCTACTTAAGAAAGAGCTCATCGAATGGGAAGAGGAATTCTGCTCAACACCATCCGATGGAGCTTCAGTGGGGAGTTCTCTTTGATACTCATGACGTCACTATATAAAATGTGCATGCAAAACTGGATTTGGTACCTATATAGTAATTGTAATAATTTGTAACATTTAAAACGAAATGTATTTAAGTATATTGAAATAACAATTAGCTAGCGTCCCTGTGTAATTTGGTGAATACTAAATAGCTTTTTCTTCTTCTTGTTACCTGTATCATTTTATATATTATAATAGAAAGGAAGGATATGCGGTCTTTAATTCATGACCCATATCCCGTAACATGTTATATTTTATTTTATTATGACGAAGGGTTGCATAACATTGAATGTCTAACTGGAAATGGGTACACTTCGGCCCTACATTTGACAAACTAGATTTAATATAAAATAAGAAGATTTGGTATGATTGCCAGAGACCAAATGCCACAATTGTTAGAAACTATAGAAATAGGATGAACGGATCATATAAACCCGAAGGCAAATAGAATACGAGCCCAAACGAACAAAATATAAACAAGTCTAAATTGAAAACAACGTTCAAACCTATGATTGCGTTGGATAAAAACAGCAATTTTTATACGCGTGCATGCAAAACAAATTTCTTGTTAGAATGGTCTAGATACAGCACAAACAACATTTTCCAAAAGTCCAAAAGAGTGAAAAAGTATATTTTAACAAAACGCATTTGACTAACAGGTCGAATAACAAATGTTCTTAAACCCTGCTGACTGCCATTTGCGATTGCCAAATAAACGGATCACCGATGTAATAAATGGATCTTAATTATAAATTTAAGACAAAACAGAAAACAATAAACTTGCGGAAAAGATGGTATTCCGCAAAAAATGGTGCAAAGGTTTTTGTACACCATATCCGGATTTCGACAATTAATGTCTCTTAAGTGATGTTAGGAATCGAACGGTATTTGGAAAGCCATACAATTTACCTCAATTTAGGATAGACTCTTGAATTTTGAGGAGTCAAAATAGGATGAACGGATCATATAAACTCGAAGGCAAATATAATACAAGCCCAAACGAAAAAAGATAAACAAGTCTAAATTGAAAACAACGTTCAAACCTATGATTGCGTTGGATAAAAACCGCAATTTTTATACGTGTGCATGCAAAACAAATGTCTTGTTAGAGTGGTCTAGATAGAGAAAAAACAACATTTTCCAAAAGACCAAAAAAGTGAAAAGTATATTTTAACAAAACGCATTTGATATATAGTATATGCAATGTATGGAGAATACACAAAATGGTATAATAGGCATGAAGTCCCGTATTGTTGTATTTTCGCCATGTTAAATGTATATAAAAACGATGTTGTGGGCTTTGTTGTCAGTTCTGTCACATCTTTTCTTCTTCAGGTAAGAAAGATGTGTTTATTTGGTTGTTATACAATTATTTGCTGTTTGTTATACAAATAAATTGATTATAAATCTTCTAATCATCGTTATCGTTATATTAACTATTACAAGCACGTTTTCGATAATAATTATACGCAAAGCCAAGAAAAGAGAGAGAGAGAGAGAGAGAGAGAGAGAGAGAGAGAGAGAGAGAGAGACTTTACTTGTGATAGCTCTACGATGTTTTTTTTTCTCCAATGGACTGCAGGGCCAACGGGGCTATACAGGGTTTTCATTACATTCCTACTTATAAGAACTGAATATATGAACTGCAAATGTATATCCTTCCCTCAGTGAGATTGGCCCTCAAGCTGTTGAAACATCAACTGTTACACAGCCTTCAAAGTATCAAGCGCCTTAAACTTCTTCTAAGAAAATATAAAAAGGGACAACAGTACACATCAACCATCAACACCCGACTTCTCAAGAAACAGACATACAAACACAGAAAAACAATAATTAACTACACGTGGTCATATAACCAGATTGCATACAGGCACAAAATATGGTCGTTAGTCGTGAAGTTCCTTTCCTCGTCGGCTTCACGAGGATTATCTATAAAACAGTACAGGGTGTATAGTGGTTATATGATGACAATGTTACTTTTCATATATACAGACACTAAAGTTTGTTTTTCTCCAATTTTATACCTCTTTACTTGCGACGACACTATACGATATACTTTGCTATTGGATATGCTAGCCAACAGAACTTTAAATGACTTTCTCTATATCTATACTCTGTTTCGATTTTAATTCAGCCCCGCTATACGTACATTCTTATAGCATTCACTAGGTACATTCTTATAGCAATTCAATAGGTAAATTCTTATAAAAATTACTAGGTACATTCTCTTAGCATTTACTAGGTACATTCTTATATCAATTATATCAATATATTCTTATAGCAACTCACTAGGTACATTCGTATAGCATTTCACTAGGTATATTCTTATAGCATTTTATTAGGTACAATCTTATAGCATTTTATTAGGTACATTCGTTTACCATTTCACTAGGAATATTTTTAAAGCAATCACTAGGTACATTCTTTTAGAATTTCACTAGGTTCATTATTATAGTATTTCACTAGGTACTTTCTTATAGCATTTCACTTGGTAAATTCTTATCCTATTTAACTAAGTACATTATTATAGTAATTTACTAGATATCTTCTTAAAGCAATTCACTAGGAACATTTTTAAAGCATTCACTAGGTACATTCTGATAGCAGTCACTAGATACATTCTTATAGCATTTTGCTAGGTACATTTTTATAGCACTTCACTAGGAATATTCTTAAAGCAATCACAAGGTATATTCTTATAGGATTTCACAAGGTTAATTCGTATAGCATTTCAGTAGGTTAATTCATATACCATTTAACTAGGTACATAATTATAGTAATTTACTAGATATCTTCTTAAAGCAATGACTAGGTACATTCTTATAGCATTTTACTAGGTACATTTTTATAGCACTTCACTAGGAATATTCTTTAAGCAATCACAAGGTATATTCTTATAGGATTTCACAAGGTTAATTCATATACCATTTAACTAGGTACATTCTTATAGTAATTTACTAGATATTCTTAAAGCAATTCACTAGGTACATTTTTATAGCATTCACTAGGTACATTCTGATAGCAATCACTAGGTACATTCTTATAGCATTTTACTAGGTACATTTTTATAGCACTTCACTAGGAATATTCTTAAAGCAATTACTAGGTATATTCTCATAGGATTTCACAAGGTTCATGCTCATAGTATTTCACTAGTTACATTCGTATAGCATTTCACTTGGTAAATTCTTATCCTATTTAACTAAGTACATTATTATAGTAATTTACTAGATATCTTCTTAAAGCAATTCACTAGGTACATTTTTATAGCATTCACTAGGTACATTCTTTTAGCATTTTTACTAGAGACCTTTTTATAGCATTCCCTTAGGTACATTTTTATAGCACTTAACTAGGAATATTCTTAAAGCAATCACTAGGTATATTCTTATAGGATTTCACAAGGTTAATTCGTATAGCATTATAGTAGGTTAATTCATATACCATTTAACTAGGTACATTCTTATAAAATTCCACTAGGAAGATTCTTAAAGCAATGACTAGGTACAGTCTTTTAGCATTTTACTGGGTACATTCTTATAGCATTATACAAGGTACATTAGTATAGCATTTCAATAGGTACATTCTAATAGCATTATACAAGGTACATTATTATAGCATTTCACTAGGTACATACTTATGGGAATCACTAGAACATTTTGGAAATCAATTTGAATAGTGTATAGTGTATATCAAAATATTTGTATAATTATGTATTCAATTTGAAATTATGAATTAATTTTATTCCTATATTTATATGCACTTAAAACATTATAATCTTCCATATGGTACGAAATGGTATACATTATAATCTCCCATTTGGTACGAAATGGTAAATATTATAATCTTCAATATGGTACGAAATGGCAAACATTATAATCTTCCATATGGTACAAAATGGTATACATTTTAATCTTCAATATGGTACGAAATGGTCATGGTACGAAATGATTATGGTATGAAATGGTTTTTATTATGGTACGAAATGGGTGGTTCGAAATGGTTATGGTACGAAATGACTATGATTCCATTCATATAGCATTTCACTAGGTACATACTTATGGGAATCACTTGATTTTTTTGGAAATCAATTTGAATAGTGTATATTGTATATCAAAATATTTGTATAATTATGTATTCAATTTGAAATTATAAATTAATTTTATTCCTATATCTTATATGCGCTTTAAACATTATAATCTTTCATATGGTACGAAATGGTATACATTATAATCTTCCATATGGTACGAAATGGTAAACATAATAATCTTCCATATGGTACGAAATGGGAAACATTATAATCTTCCATATGGTACAAAATGGTATACATTTTAATCTTCAATATGGTACGAAATGGTCATGGTACGAAATGATTATGGTACGAAATGGTTTTTATTATGGTACGAAATGGGTGGTTCGAAACAGTTATGGTACGAAATGACTATGATTCTATTCATATAGCATTTCACTAGGTAACTTCTATACCAATTCACTGTCACTAGGTACATTCTTCAAGGTACATAATAGGATTTCACTAGGTACATAATAGGATTTCACTAGGTTTATTCTTATAACATTACATTAGGTATACACATAAATCAATAGACTAGAAAACTTATAAGAGCATTACGAGAGTGAATTCCTATAGGATTATACAAGGTACATTTTCATAGCAATACACCAGTTACATTCTTATACATTTACTAGGTATATTTTTGTAACAGTAAACTGAGTACATTCTTATAACATTCACTTGATACTTATAGCATTTCACTGAGAAAATCCTTTTAATATTACAATAGGAACATTCCTTTTGCATTCACTAGGTACATTGTTATAGCATTGGCTACGTAGATTTTTATAGCACTACACTAGGAACATTTTTACAGCAATCATTTGGCACAAACCTATAATATATCACTAGTTACATTCTTATAGCAATTCACTAGGTACATTCTTATAGCATTTCACTAGATACAATCTTCTAGAATTAGCTAGGTACATTCTTATAGCAATCACTAGGTACATTCTTATATCAGTTCACTAAGTAGATTCTTATAGTAATTCATTATGTACATTCTTATAGCATTTTTCTAAGTTTATTCTTATAACATTTCATTTAGTACATTCTAAAAGCATTTCACTAGGTTTATTCTGTTTGCAGTTCACTAGGTACAATCCTTTAGGAATTTACTAGGTACATCCTTAAAGCAATCACTAGGTACATTAATATAGCACTTCTATAGGCACATTCTTATACCATTACACTAGGTACATTCTTATAGCATTTCACTAGGTACATTCTTATGACATTACATTTGGAACATTCTTAAAAAAATCATTAGGTGCATTCTTATAACAATACACTAGTTATATTCTTTAAGCAATCTTTATGTACAATCTTATAGCATTTTACTAGGAACAAATTTTAAAGCATTTCACTAGGAACATTATAGGATTTCACTAGGTTTATTCTTATGACATAAAACTAAGTATACACATAAATCATTACAGTAGGAAACTTGAAATAGCATTGAGTAAGTGAATTCTTATGGGATTATACTAGGTTTGTTCTCATAGCAATACACCAGTGACATTCTTATACATTTACTAGGTATATTTGATAGCATTACACTAAGTACATTCTTATAACTATCACTTGGTACATTTTTATAGCATTCCACTAGGAACATTCTCATAGCATTATTTAGGTACATTCTGATAGTATTTCACTAGATACATTTTGATACCATTCACTACGTACATTCTTATAGCAATTCACTAAGTACATTCTTATAGCCTTTCACTAGGTACATTCTTATAGCTTCTACTAGGTACGTTCTTATAGCAATTCACTGGGTATGTTCTCAAAGCATTTCACTAGGTATATTGTTATAGCAATTTACTAGGTACATTATGATAGCATTTCACTAGGTATATTCTTATAGCATTCACTAGGTACATTCTTATAACAATTCATTAGGTACGTTCTTATAGCATTACGCAAGGTACATTAAGTATAGCATTCGATAGGTACATTTTGATAGCATCGAACATTCGTAAAGCAATCACTAGATACATACTCATGCAATCACATTAGCTACTTGCTTATAGCATTCAATAGGTACATTTCTATAGCATTTCACTTGGTAAATTATCATAGCAATACAGCAGTTATATCTTTTTAGCATCCACCAGGTACATTCTTATAGAATTGCACTGGGTACATTCTTATAACATTACACTAAGTGCATTCTTAAGGCATTAACTAGGTAATTTCTAAATTTATGCTCTCTATGCTACTTCTATTTTTTTATATAAAATACTTGATGGAGTAAGTATTAATATTGTAACAGCCTTCAATGCAAAACAAAAACATTAGACATGTGCTTTAAACCTGTTAAACTAGTT